TTTTTACTTAACGAATGGACAATGACTTCATCCATAAAATTTTGAGTGGTTAAAAAAAATCATGTATTAAGATGGAATGTAACGTAACACAAATGAATTAATAAAAGAACCTATGGCATTCTTTAGTAATTTAAACCTCCAAACTATACAACGGTGAATATGTCCATAGACGAACGACGTGAGCAGTCACAGCGTGCCTCACAATTTATTGGACAATATCTATTACAGGGTTGGGCCTTAATCGATGAAATATGCCCAAATGATACCTGTTACGGTGTGAGTGATAATTTTATGGTTTTATGTAATAATTATTGTTGGCTGCTTAGCAATACGATAACCAAATATAATCCAAGCATTTTATATAAAGTTTTCTCTATTGATTTTAGATACCATTATTACGTTCCCGAGACAAAAAAAAATATTGTGTGATTTGCCAACATTATTGCATAAATGAATCTGATTTGGAGAATTCAAAATCCAAAATTATGCGTGATTTGACACCGCAAACATCCACATCATCCAATAGATCCGTACTTGATGAAGAAAAGCGCAAAGTTTACACCAAAGATACAGAGGTACCTCTTTTTTATAATCAGAATAATGAAAATTGTGAGCCATTTGTGACCAACTTTTTTTTTGACGTTAGATCATAGCCACCTCTTCATTTAATGAAACGCTTAGTACAGCACAAAAAACCATCATAACAAAAATTGAAGAATTAAGCGCTCGTTTACAAGGTACCATCGATGTATCTGAAGTTAGGAGTATATGTGGGGCAATGGAAGGTTGTGCTAAGGCTTTGGAAGCTTTGAGAGCGTTAGAAAGGACTTGATATAATTGAATACAGGCAATGACCATATAATTTTCGGAAATTTATTATAACAAATCTTCGCTTTTATGTTTTCTTAATTGATAGAATATTTGTTGATAATATTTAATTATGTCTAAAAAACTTCATGCCCAACCAATTCCAAAATATTGCATAAATAGTTACAGGTAAAGTAATTGGGATAAGAAGGCAATAATATTCATCTATCTTAATCCAATCTAAAGTCTACAATGAAAAAACTTAATATTTGATCAAGTTGAAATATTATTAATCCTGAAAATATAAAATAACTTACTTTGTTTCCGGTTTCAGGCATAAATTTACTTACAACAATTGCATACATACTACCTACAAAAATAAAATAAGCAGTAAATAAAAGGATCCAACCCCATAAAGCAGTAGTATCAGGCTCAAGTTCCGATAAATGTCTAGTGACATTTCTTGCGTAGGTTGGTGTATTTGGCCTATAGTTAGGCGAAACCATGTTTGTAAAAGGGTGAAAGACGAAACCTAAGCCCAACAAAGAGAAAGAAACCCTCTATCGAAACGGCAAGACCCTGATAAAAGACAAATCACTGGCGGAAGGCAAAGGCCTTAATAAAATGAGGATTTCTGCAGAAAGACGAAACCTTTGAAACTCTAATAAATAATGGAACTATGAAACATTAAAACATATAGTACGTACGTGTGTTTTGTACGATAAGAAATGTGGCTTATATTGGGCAGACTTCGTCTGATTGGCTAATGCAAATCAACTTGACCGGTATGGCAAAAAATATCTAACATTGATTCAATGTGTCACAAAATTCGATTTTATCATATACTGTATGATTAATGGCGTTCAAATCAAATAACGATATATGAACAACCCAAACGATTTTATTACGTATATTATCAGCAAAGCTTTATATATTTAAATATATGGGTGATTACTTTTGAATCCAGACCAAAATGTTATTACGTCATATATATAATTGATCCGGGTTCAAGAATAACTACCCATATAGTAATTTATTCTATTTTTTTATCATCATTACTTCTACTAGAGATTCCATTACAATCTTTGGCTCATATTACGTTAAACAATATCGCTCACACATATTTGATCTAAATCACATCTATGCCGACTTGGCAATTAACTTCTATAAAATGAATTAAATAAAATTATTGCAGTATCGAAGGTCTTATTAAATATAAACACGAAAAATTTCATACTACAATACCGAAACCATTCAAGATATCGCTGATTCTGTATTTTTACCTTGACATTGTCACTAACAAGAACTTGGGATCCCAAAAAAGAATTTCGGATCCAGAAAAACTAAGATCTTGACAAGAATTTTTATACCACAACACTGAAACTAGATTTTAAGATCTTTGTCACACACTAAATATAGTTCTGTGTTTTTACGTGATTTACCCTTGACATTGTTACTAGCAAGAATTTGGAATTCCGGAAAAAGGATTTGGGTTCCAGGAAACTAAGGTCTTGTTGAACTTAAATATAAAGTTTCTAAGCGTAACATATTTTATGAGAAGAGTTGTGTTTATGAAGCCAATCAGCATGGGGAAACAAATTCATTACACAAGATCCTGTAATTTTATTGAACATAAGAGTACTCATTTAATAAAAAAATTTTTTGGCAAAATTCAAAATTTTAAAAGAGTAATATTCTTTAAGAATATTATTATAGTGCTATAGTACTGTAAAATGCTACTTTATATGTAGTATTGTCACTTGGCCATTTGGCTAGCCATTGGCTAAATTGGGCAAAAAAATTCTTTGGTCAAAAATGGTCAAATATTCATATAGGAAAGCTAGCAATATGATTGGTTAATGTTATATAAGTTAAAAACTTTTGAAATTGCCAACACAGTCTATATGTAAACACGTAACATGTAAATCAAAATAATATTTTTTTTATACTTTTAATTAGGTTAGATTGAAGCCATGGTTAAAGTTAGACAAAGCATAGTCTATATCAAAATTTTATAAAAAATTTTT